GTGTGTGTGTGTGTGTGTGTGTGTGTGTGTGTGTGTGTGTGTGTTGCAAGGTAGCTATGGCATGAGATGATGCTCTCATGTTCTGCTTCTGAGGCCACCAGGAAAGAACAACATTGGTCAAATTCTACTTTGGGCGTATCCTTTTGGGCTAGCATGAAACACACCAGAACTCTGAAAAGGACACTACTTTGGGAATTTATGGGAATCAAGCAACTGGGACTCCACGGGTAGCGTATTTTGTGGCCATTAAATAATCTTGGAGCTTGAACTTCTACTTGAAAGGACGGGGAAGGAGAACTCAAGTTGAAGGCCAGCCTGAGCTACATGGTTCTAATATTAATTCTTTCTTGAGTTAGGAAATTAGCATTTTAGTTGAGGGGAAAGTTTTCACTGAATTCATGCTTCTATGCATATTCATGAAGCAAAGAGAAAGACCAAGCAGAGAGCCTAATGGAGAAGAAATCTATGGGGAATATTTGTACTCACCAATGGGTCTTTCTCTCTTGTGAAGTTTCTGTTTCTTTGTTTGTGTGTCTGATTTTGTTGATGAGGCTTGACTCGCTGGACTGATGGATTCATCAGCATCTACATCAGGAGCTGCATAGAACAGGTACATTTAGTTCACTGCATGAAAAAAACATATTTGAAACTGTGTGGTGGCATGTGCCTAGAACCCCAGTATTTGGGAGGTGGACACTGGGTGATTCAAGATAATCTTTGGCTACACAGACACTTGAAGACAAGCCTGGGATAGATGAGACTTTGTCTCCAAAAACATTTAAGTTTGAAATCCCCAAGTTCAAATTTCTGATGAGTTTGCTGCAGCACCATCTCTTGTATTCATTACTTCTTTTTTTTTAAATAAATAAAGAATGCAAGTCTCTCTAGTTCAGTCACCAGTGATTCGCAGAGATATAGAAACCTGAATAGTTTCTTCTGCCGTAGAAAAGGAGTCTTGTTAACTCAGTATGTGACAGTGGCTGCTTCTGCTAGGAGACTGTGATAGCCCAATGACAGGCCCAAGGGAGGGTGCTAGCTAACAAGGAATCCATGCTCTGCTAACTCTTATACAACGTGACTGGTTCATTAATACAGATCAGGTGCATGGACCAAATATTTAAATGAAATCCTTTGAGAAAGTTGGAAGGAGCATGGAGTCTCATTTGGGCATAGCTAGCTGCCAAATGGTCTATCTTGGTCCCAACAAATACAAAAGATGTGGTGTCATTTGTGGGTCTCTTCTGCTGGGAACCTTCTCATTCCCATCAATGGAATGCCACCAGAAATAATCCATGAATTTACCAAGCAATCTCAACTTCTGAGTGAGTCTGAACCCACAGATTGCCTTGGAGGCCATCTGAGAGGACTCCATGGCCATTGGCCACTATCCTCATCAGCCCCTCTACACTACATTTAACTTACAATTACAGCAACAATTCTACTCAACAGTGGAAGCGTATGGAATAATTTCATTGCACAGGTTAGTGGAATGAACTGGCTTTTAGACCTCTAACTTCCTGGAGTGGGTGAAAAGGAGCACACATTGCTAGACAGCATGTGATCATGCCTTTGAAATGACTACATCTAGAACCATTAAATAAAAGCAATGGATGTTTTGGCTTTTGTTTGTCAGTTATTGCATGGCCAAATGGAACATTCCCACAATGCATATAGTAAAATACACATTCTTGAACTAAAAGACAAGATTTTGGGATGTGCTTAAGATAATTTTAGGATGTAGTGGCACTATGGTGCACATATGTAATTCCAGCATCCTAGAAGCTGAGGCAGGAGGACCAGGCTCTGCTGGTCCCATTCTAAAAAGAACATGGAAAAGAATCTGTCATTTTTTATGCTCACTAGCAAGTCTTTTTCCTTTGGCAGTGTCCCGTTTCTTTGCTGGAGCTTTGGCTTTTGATGTTTCTTCATAGGCAGCTCTCTCTGATTCTTCCTCATGAGCTATATACAGAGAGAAATACTTAGTGCACTAAACAGAAAAATAGAACGATGTTAAAGCCTTCATTTCATATTTCAAACAAATTCCCAGTGGTCTTCTCTGCTGGTTTTACAGACTTATAAATAAATGACATTTGTGTTAGTTCTGACAAGACAGTGGTGGAGAGTTTTGGTGAATATCTGCTAAACTTTGTAATTTAATATTTGATGGGCATAATCCAGTTAATATTTACTCTTCTTACTTTTGGATATATTTTTTATGGGTATTGGTGTGTCTCAGTGCCTTCGATGCCAGAAGTCAGCATTGGATACCCTGGAGCTCAAGTTATAAGTGGTTGTGAGCCTCTAGCTATGGGAGCTGGGAAATGATTTCAGATATAAGCACTCTGAATGCAGAGTCGTCCCTCCAGCCCTTTACTTTTCTTTAGTTGCTTATATATTACAGACCATGTAGGCTTTAAAGGCAAAATAATGAAAATGCATGTGTGGGTTCATTCATTATTTCATTGTGTGTAATTGAAAATAAAAATATAAATATTTAGTCATGAAAAATGAGTTTGAATAAGCATATTATACATTATCTTAAGGCTAGTACATATTATATGCTATGGTCAATATACGTTATGATAAAACAACTGCACATAGAGCTGAAAATGGATTGAAAAAGTTCTCTATATTGGGAGAATATACCTGGAGAAATGTGCTTGTACACTGCCTTTTAAACAGGAAGAAAGATAGACAACGAAGATAAAAGAAAAAAATCACACGTAGTTATCTTTACCAAATGAAATACAAGTGAAATAACACAAAGTAGTATACATGGTAACTATAACATGGAACAGGGAGGCCTTGGGAAGAAACTGTGTTTCCCTAACTGAACCTTTTGTGTGTGTGGTGTAGTTTAGGAATCATGTGCGTGTTCCCCATATTTCAAAAATAAAATTAAACCACAAACATAAGGGGATACTTTGTTTTATGTCACCCCCAGGAAAGGCACAAAATGCCTTGTTAAGTCAGATCATTGCACACGAAACAATCTGGCTATCAACTAGAAAATTATGAAATATTCAATAGAAGCTACCTCCAAGAGGCAGTGGTTGACTAGTAATGAACACAACATAAAAAAGGTAATTGGTGCTTATACTTGGACAATACATGTAAAATCCTTCTGGACATAATGTATGGGAGCACAGTGAAGTCTTAAGGCAGCACCTTGATGGGCTCTCTACCAGGGATCTCAAGTCCCAGAGGTAAGTCAAATGATGCTCCAAAGGTGATATAGTGAGGGACTCCATGGTTCCAGTCCCTATGCCAAATGAAAGCTCCATTACCCAGCTCTTGAGATGGTTTAAAATAAGTGACTAGATACATAGGAAGTGATATCACAACTGTTCTATCAGAACCATGTGGACTGGCTGATGATGGTCAGTGTAAGCTGCTCATGAAATAACTTGTCATACACTACCAATATATTCCACAAGGCTATAGAAAATTCTCAGAATAACTCCCATCAGTGGGATAGTCCCGCCCTCAGAGGAAGCATTGCACCAACATTTCATGGATGACCTTGTCTGAATGGCAAATACTGCTCTGATGACCCATATATGGCAATCAGGTAGACAATTATTGCCCACAAGGCACAATTACCAAGAAGCCTTGTGAGATTCTGGACATTGTAAGGGGCATGATGTCTCATTCTGGAGATGGCCAACCAATGGCCTTCTTTGCTCCAACAACTATGAAAGGGACCCTGCTACCGTGAGGCACCTCAGCACCTTACACTCTCATTTCCCCTTGTGAAGTCCTTAAAACCACCTATCTGTGTGTCACCATGAAGCTGTTCCCTTTGAGCAGGGCTACAATCAAGAAGGTGCTGGAGGCTTTTCAACAGGTCACAGTCTGTCCTTATCATGGGATGCTGACACCCATTGTGGAGTTAAAGACTGCAGCCACATCTCTGCATGCTTATTTGAGATTGTGGCAGGTGGTCATTAGCACAGGGAAGAGGCATTTTCTATAGTTTTTAAAAAGTATATAATCTGTAGGAGGAAGCTGGAAGGTAGACCACACACTTAAGTTAATTACTGGCCTATTTCAGGGCCTTGGCCAAGAGGAGTTTTATCCATGAAATAACTACAGAATCAGAAATACCAGACAATGGGCACAAACTCTTTGCCATTGTCCTGTAGTTATCTTAAGGTATTTTAGGACAAAGTAAAAATTTCCATAAAATAGATGTCAAGTTTTCCTGGATAAAGAAAAATGGTGTAATGAGTTTAATCCAAGATAATATAGCATCACAGGTAATTCTCATACTTACTGTAAAGTTTCCCAGTCTTAGAACCTTTCTGTCCCTTTGATTTTATTTCTGTTTTTGAGTCTTCTTTGACAGACCTCTCTTCATATTCATCTACATAAAATGTATTTAGTGTAGTAAATAAGAGGACAGAAACCTACATTTCAAATTTATAAAATGTACACAGTTCAATTTTATAAAATGTGCACAATAGCATTTTCCAATCAACTAGGTTACTATAATGTAGACATTATCAAATCTGTGCCCTTAATTTATAAACATGTATTAACTTTATATCTTGATATATAGTTATACTGTTCTGATTGTGTTTTTATGCTAATGCACATGATTAATAGGGCAGTGGCAATGTATAGGTACATGATTATTGTAGCAATTACAATATAAATATAATCAAAGCTCAATGATGGGAAATAGGTTAAATAAACTAGAGCATATACAAGTACTGTATACTAAACATCTCTGTAAAACAATATATGGGGATTACTTGGAGGTAATGTTAAGTGGGGGAAAAGAATGTGTTACCTCCCTGATAAGAAAGAAGAGGGGAGGAACAGGGAAAAAGCAGTAAAGAGACTCATCTTTTTCATAAAAAGAAAATACAGTAAAGGTATCAAAACCAATGCAATTGGTTACCCACAAGAAGAGGGGAAGGAGACAAAGTCAGGATGTCCTTTTAGGTAAATATGACCGTCTACATTATTTTCATACATTCCCAAAATTAAATAAACCACCAAGAATAATAGAAAAGAGATGAACTGAAACAAACTAGAAGTTACAATTTAAATCAAAGGGTCTACTGAGGGGGTGGGGAAACTGGTCCAAATAACTGGCCAATATACCAGGAAAAGGAGAGGGACAGACCACAAGCAAATCAGCCAGTCTCTCTTGCTTCAAATAAACAACCTAAAGTCTCTGAAAATGATAAACAAGGAAAACTAAGATTAGCAGAAATAAAAGGAAATCACACAAACATTAGAGTTAAAAATAAATGAATTTGAAAGAGCATAAGTATAAGTGTATATAAAATCTAAACATCTCAAAAGGAGACCAAGAGAGAAGCTCTTTAGGTTATGGGAAGGATTCAGGGAGGGGAGGGGGGCAAAAGACACATGACATGAAAGAGGGAAAGAATCAGAGTGAGGGAAGACTACAGTGTGGGTAAGAGGAAGGGCCACGGGGAAATAAGAAAAGCCATAGACAATAAGAACAGCAATAAATACAGTACAAGCACTCATGAAAAAAGGTGTTAGGGGCTCATTGGTTAAGGCAAAGAAGGTGATAAGGAGGTGATGGCGTGAATATGTTCAAAATACGTGGACAGAATTCTCAAAGAATTAATAAAATGTTAAAAAGTGCTACAGCCCCATGACAAAGCAACATTGGCTTGACATTAAAAGAGCAACCACAGGTTCATCGACCGGTGGAATGAGCAGAGAACCTAGACACAAAACCACATGTCCACAGCTAAGTGATGTTCCACAAAGGTGACAAAAACCCACACTGGAAAAAGGCTGCCATCTAATAAGCGGTACTGGGAAAATTGGACTTGTCTTTCACCCTAGATAAAAATCAACTCAAAATGAACCAAAAACTTGGACATGAGACTTGAAACAGAAAATGCTTGAGAAAAACAGAAAACAACTCCTGGATATTGATAGAAGCGATAATTTTCTCGATAAGATTCCAAGATCACAGTAAGCAAAACAAAGCTGACGTGTGAGGTCCTACCAAACTCACCAACCTTATAGGAAAGAGAGCAATCACAGAGTGAACAGGCAGCCTACATAAAGGGAGAAAAATCTTTGCCATCTGTCAGCTAACAGCCAAGATATATAACAATGTAAAAGTTCCTAACACCAGAAATTAAGGAATGTGATTTAGAACGGCCATTATAGACATACTTTAAAAGAAATGCAAATAGTCAATACATGAACAAACTCTGTAACATTAGCTATCAGGGAACTCCAAATTGTAAGGAGAGACAATCTCAACCAAGTCAGAACGGTTATGAAGAACAGACCCTGCCAAGGACCAGAAGGAGAGCAACCCTCTCACACTGTTGGGGGGAATAAGCTGAGCACAGAAAGATGAGTGTCACAAATGCTGCATGTTATTTCACGTGTGGGAACCAAGAAAGAAGTGACCTGAGAGCAGGAGAGGGATTTCTGTGGCCCGAGGAGGAGCCAGTGCTGGGGGAGAAATGTAGAGGGAAGTTTGTTGGAGATCGATGCATGAGGTGATAATAATATAACAAAAGTAAATGAAGAAAACAAAGAGGGCATATTAGAATATCTGACTTTTCAATAGGGATAATATGTGTTCTTATAGTGTTGTGTGTGTACTTTTGAATAAATCAAACAAAATACAAAAATTGTAACAGTGATTTTACTGAGAGAATATAGGGACAATCTGTTACTTCATGTAGACATGGACAACTTTATATTTCTATGGGTGTTCCCTCTTTTAAAAGTGTGACACTGTGTGTGCATGCGTGTGTGCATGCGTGTGTGTGTGTGTGTGTGTGTGTGTGTACACATGTGCGGGGGCAAGCAATGGTGGTTACACTGTGTTTAAATACAACCTAACTGTATACTACTTACATCGAAGAAAGTGTGTAAAAATGACACATGAATGCACTGATGAACAAATCGGGCTGGAGGTAGGTCAGCAGTAGAGGCTGCCTATCACACCCGAGACCTTAGGTTCAATAATCCCCCCCCAAAGGATAAATATAACATGGTTAGAAAGAGACAAATATGAGTTCTCCAGAAATATGGAGATCTGTATAGGACAGATACCAAATATATAAGAAGAATCCTAGACAGCTCAGATAATGGGAGTTTCTAAAAGAACAGTGGGATGCATGCTCATTCTGCTCAAAAAGAATAATGCATTTATATTCACTGTAACTTTTCTAGACACTCTTGGCATCAGACACAGTATTTTTATCTACTCTTTCCCCACACTTGGAGCTACGAGGAAAAAGACTTTTAAAACTCAGAACTGAAGCCATACCTGCTGTATAAGTCCTAAGTTCATAACATACATTAATTATTCAATGTAATTTTGTCTGATTTCTTCAGACATAAGAATTTTCATACTTTGTGACAGTAATTTAATGAAGGCAATGATCCACCTGACTATAAACATTACGTTACTTTTCAGATACACAGGCAGATGATGCGTTCTCTAGTTTTCTTGGAGTATTAAGACAAGATTATGAAAAATTAAAAGTTGAAAGTATTGTCATTATAGGCCTAAGGAAAAAAAACATTGTTAAAAACTGTACAGCATTAAAGACAGGAATAGAACTGGATTTCAAAAAGTCAAGACACAAAGAATATGCTGTACTTACACTTCAAAATAAGGAGTAATTAAATTTAATGTGAATATGAATATTAATTAAAAGGCAGTCAATTGTCATTATATGAATCATAAAAGATATATGACAAAGTCATAAATGTGAAGGACAGTTATACTGCTAAGATGGAAAATGAGGTATTATGAAAACACCAGATTTAAAAAAAAACAGTAGAACTTCATGAACAGAAGAAATAATAGTTTTTAAGTCTAACAAGCATATAACTCCAGAAGTGAAAAGACAATGTCTTTCATTAGGACTAAAGAAATTTTCCCCCATCAGGGTCAGTAGAAAATTTAACAACTGGCATAGTTATCACAGGCAAATCATCAATAAAGAACAGTAACTATGAATAAATTCATTACAAAACAAAAGACTAATAGAACTATCCATATAACTATAAAGTGAGGGACAGAGCTATCCTGAATTCAGTTGAAAACAGCTTTACAATATCTTAATAATTACTTACTAGTCACGTTCTCATATTTGATGGCTTCAAGATTCTCAATTTCAGATTGTGTTCTTGAAAGTAAACTCAAAAATTCAGGTTTTTTTGCAGTGATAAAAAGTGCTAAAGAGAAACAGAGTTATGATGAGACTTCTGGGTAGGCAACATCCATCCCACTTGAGCAAGGCTACACAGAGAGGAATCTAAAGCTAAACTATCAACAATGCAACAAAAAGGACAGTGGAGGTGGTGTAGGAAATGTGTGAGGAGTTTTCCTGAGCGTGCAGAGAAGCTGAGAGTGGTCACTGACCATACACATGACAGCCAAAAGGTGCCAGACCTTACACTTTAGTTCTCCAAGGATCTTAAAGTATGGGAAAAGGAATGGTAGGTGTGAGAGTATGTGTGATAGGGATGGAAGGGAGATAAGGGAGGAGGGAGGAGGGAATAGTAATCAGAATACTACCCATCCACCCACCCATCCACCCACCCACCCACCCATCCA